TCAGACAGCATGGCTTGGTCAGGTTCTCTGGAGGCCTCCCAGGGTCCCCACATTTGGAAGCTGGGCACCGCGAGAGGACTGGAGCCAGTGGTCATGCACGGGGGGAAGTAGAGACAGAGCAAGAGAGCCCAGCGTTCTCACACTGTCTCCAGGCTCTTCTCCCACGGGCCGGGCGCTCTGGGTCTATTCCTGGCTCCACCTGGTGCTTCCCAAAGGCCACCTGGGATCCCAAGGCAAACAACGGCGGCCTCAGCGCTGACCTGGAGGTCAATGCCACAGGTGCCACACCTCTGCCACGAGTGACTTCCCCACCATTCTCCGAGCTCTAAGGCCCCATCAGCTGGTGAACACCTTGTTTACCACCTAGGAGGAGCCCAACTGAAGCAGGCTCAGGTCTCCTCAGCCCCAGATGGCCGCGGCGAGTGGGTCACCTGTTCCTGGCTCCCCTGAGGGACAGCAGCAGGGCTGGGGGTGCAGGTGGGAGGAGGCACTGTGCCTGAGGCCACAGGACCTCCCAGCTGGACACAAGGGCCTGCACGTTGAGCTCTCCCACCATGTTTCGTTTCGCAAAGCCCCTCCCCAGACCTCTCTACAGGAGCCTCTGCAGGACTTGAGGAAGCAATGTCCGTATCACCTTGGCCGTGAGGAGGGTGGACAGGAAGGCCGGCCAAGTGGAGCGGTTGACTTAGACAACAACACCTAGCTTTGTCTCAGGCCAGGGCCTGTGCGTCTGATAGCCACGTGCCATTTAACCTGGGAAGACGCCCTGTCGTCCCAACTGGGAGTTGGTGCAGCCGAGGACAGGGCCTGTCAGGCTTGGTGCCAGGGTCCTGGCATGACCCCACATGCCCCTGCTGTCAGAGCACTCAGGGACTTTCCGGACAATCCCCAGTCCATAGGTGGAGAAACTGAGGCACGTGGTCACACAGCATGGGAATGGCTGATCAAGGCAAGTGACCCAGGGCCTCTGTTTGGGACTGGGTCTTTACGCTGGCCCTGAACCTCCTAAAGCTGGGACATGGGGACTGGGGACTCCCTCACCTTTTGGGAACGAGAGGAGGGGGTGGGGCTGCTGGCCTGAGTGTGCCTGCTTCCTTGCAGGGCAGCTCCCACAGGCCCCTAAACTCCTAATTAAGACACAAGCAAGTGCCGTGGGGTAGGGAGCCTGTTCAGGAGACGGGAGCGCCAACACCTGGGATTATGTTATCAGATGGTTCCCCACCCTGACAGCTCCTGGCCTGGGAACTGCCACGGCAAGCATCCTGCTGCTGTGTGAGCCCCGGGTTGGGGGTTGGGGAGGTCCTGTGGCTGGCCCACTCTGGGCTCCAGCTGTGTCACCCCTGGGGCTATCCTGGTACTGTCTTGGCAAAGGCATGGGAGCAGACCCTCCTACCTGCTCTTCCAGGAAGTTGCTGCCCATTTCTGGGCCCCAGGGACCTGCGGTGGCCAGTTCCCAGGGTGACCCAGTGCCTCCTGGGAATGCATTGGTCATCCTAAGTCCCTCAGTCCAACTGCCACACTCCCCCGAGGAGCACCTGCTCCTGGACAGATGTGGGGGCAGGGAGCTCAGAGCTGCAGACGTGGGGTTCAAGGCTAAGTTCTCCCTCCCGAGCCCCACCTAATCTCGGTTGCCTCCTCTGGACAATGGAGCTGTCCTACCGGATGGGGCTGCCAGGAGGATTACATGGAGCAGCAGCAGGTCAGTGCCCGCTCAGCACTTGGCATCAGCACTGGCATTGAATAAACGCCTCATTAAGCCACTCTTATTCTCCCAGTGCCAAGCTGTGGGCCAGGACCCGACCCGAGCTTGTAAAGGCGGGGCCCCTGATGGCAAAAACAAGGGTTCATCAGGCAGCCTGCAAAGCCCAGGGCTCAAGTCCTTTCCCATTGAGCAAGAAACTCAACTGCTCTGAAAATCTCCCGTTCCCAAGCTCTGGTCTGGCAGGCAGAGAGCCCCGGGCTCCTGTCCAGCCATCACCTCTGGCTCCTTGCCGTCTGCCTCAGTCTGTGTAACTGTGAAGTGGGGCCAGGTATGCATGTGCCTGAGCTGGTGGGTGGCTAGTGGGAAGGATACCGGCAGGAGCCTGGCTCCATGTTGCATGCATGGTTGCATTGCGATTTGGAACCCTTTTTCAGCTGCAGCAGGCCCAACCCAACAACCTGGCCTAACCTCACCTCTCCTGGGCGTGATTCTACAAGCCCAGCCTTTGGTATGCATGTAACTGGGGAGCCCACGCAGGGGTTTTTTTTCCCCCCCATCCCCCGACTTTGTGTAAATTACTGGCCCCAGGGGCACATGGGTAACCTCCTGTTTTTTTTGCAACAGCAGCCCACTGAGGCTGCAGGGCACTAGGAACACACAGCCGGGGCAGTGACGCTGAAGACCTGAATCCATTTTACAGATGGGCAGGCTAGGAGCTCAGGTGCTAGGGCTTTGCTGGGTGTCATGGCCAGGGTGGGGGCAGCCCCCAGTCCCCACGGCTGCTGGAGTCCAGCCTTGGGAAGGGGGCGTGGCGGGAGCCCTGCCGGGAACAGCCACTCCCGGCGGGCCCAGGCGGCGTGGGCTGAGTGTGCTGCGCTGTATCACTTCCCTGCCCCAGGCTCTGCCCGCCGTGCTGACGACAGGGCAGGGTGAGTTTGCAGGTGGTGGGCGGGCCACGGCTGCCCTGACTCAGCGCTAGCAGGGACCTAGCCCCGGATTCCCCCTCCCCAACAGTAAGAGAAGAGCCGGGCTGCTGTGGAAGGCAGGCGAGCTCCCCAGGCACAGGGCTCAGGGCTGCGCAGCAAGCTTGAGGGGAGAGGGGCGGGTAAGGTAGGTGATTGGCGGAACAGATAAGCAGAGTGGTGGGCGGGGTCAGCAGCATCAGACTAGTGGCATCCTGGCCCAGCCCAGGAGCCTGGGAAGCAGCTGGGGGGAAGGGGGTGGGCAATGCAGGTCACCTGGTCCAGCTGCTCCTCCCAGCTGCTGGGCTCTGCCAGGGCACGAGGGGGGCAGGTCCTGGGGTGTGAGGGCAACCCAGGCCCAGTGCCCATCCCTCCACCCAAGAACTAGCTGGGTGACCTTGGGGGTGGGGGGCCTAAGCCGGTCGGGCCTCAGCTTCTGCATCTGGGAAATGGGACTAGATAACGCGGTCTGAGATTAGAAAGCATCTCAAACTATGTGCACAGTGGCCACTGTCATTACCAGCTGCCCACGCAGGCATGGATGTGGCAGGACTGCCGGCAACTCTGTTCTCTGGTCTGAGGTTTCTGTCTGAGGTCCCACACCTTGGGACACTGGTCGGGGGGGGTGCCCCATCTTTGGGTGGGGGGTGAGGCAGAGCTCACATGCTGGGGATGGCAGGTCTACCTGGGGTAACCAGCCACACAGAACAGCTCCTGTAATGTTAAGGGGGAGGCTGCTGCTGACGGTCACCTTAGGGGGATGCCAGTCACTTTTGTGTGGTTCTGGCCAGGAGTGAGGGAGCCTTCCCACAGAATGGGAGGGGAGGGGGCTCATGGGTCTCCCCAGACTGGATCTCAGACATGGGCAGGGGAAGAGGAGGGTTTGGGGAGCACTCCTATCTGGCCCCGTCACCAGGCTAGGCTGTCTGGCTCACTGTCTGCAGCAGGTGAGACTCAGGCTCTGTTGGCCCAGCTAGAAGGTGGTGTGTGTGTCCTTCTGTGCTGGGGGTGAGGGACAGGGCAGGGGTCAAGACCTTTCCCTGCCCCCCCACCACCCTGGCCTGTTTCCCCACATGCACGCTGGGTTAGGGGGTCGCAGTGCGCTCTCGCTGGCCACTGGTTCTGTCACTTCCAGCCCACCTGGCGCTGATGTTGAGGGCAATACCCTGCTACTTTCTCTTGCTCCCTCCTTACACCCCACCCCCATGGCAAGTGTAGGCCGGTTAATTCAGCATGAAAATGACAAGGGCTCCTTCTTCCTCCTCTTCCTCCAGCTCCTTCCTTGTTCTATCATCTGATAGCTACAGGTGCGGGGGACAGAGAATGGGCAGGCAGGGAGCCTCCTCCATGGAAACCCAAGCTGGGGCCACCTGGTCAGCGGCCACCCAAGGCCTCCTTTCCCAGGCTGCCCCTTGTCAGCCAGGCCTAGCTTCCCTGCCATCAGCTGCCCAGCTGTGGGACTAGATCCCAGCCATGTTAACGGTCAGGAATCTCTCGTCCTAGGACCCGAAGCCATTCCGGCCCTCCAACTCCTCCACACAGAACACAAACTTTACCGATTGCATCAGGGCGTGCTTTGGGAGTGGGACAAGGCACTTCCGCTCAGCAAGAGGCAGCCGGTGCTAGGGCGGGGTTGTAGCTGTGCAGCCGTTGCCTGCCTCCACAAGCGACTAGCACCCCCTCTCGGGATGGACATCAGTGAGTCAGCCAAGAGTGGTCCCTACCAACAGGGCCCTGTGACTGCCCGGCAGAGGGCTCAGGAATCCGGCCAGGCCTGGGCTGGACTCCCTTGGTTTCCACTAGGACCACGCCACTCACTCCCACCTGTGCATCCGGCTGCCCTGGGAAGCTTGGGTCACTGCCAAGCTCACAGGGAAGCTCAGAGAGTACGAACGGATTTGAACTCAGGCCAGCAAGCCAATCTCGGCCTCCAAACCCCTTGGTCCACAACAGACGGTCCCCACCCCCCTGCCCCCCGCCCCCCGCCAGCAGAGAGCTCGTGCTGTGTGTGAGAGCCACCTCCTCCTCCCTCTCCTCGGGGTGAGTGAGAGACACCCCAAGAGACAATAAGAGAAGGCTCCCCTCCCCACCCTGCCCCACCGGCTGCAGCGCCTTCCTCTGGGGAACCTGCTGGCCAGGTCCTGGGAAACCGGATACACCCTCGCATGGAGCACAAAGGCCCTTGGACTTGGAAGGGGCGGCCCACCAACACCTGCCAGGAGCAGCGGGGCTCCAGCAAAGCGGAAAGGGCCCCTCCCAAGGGAGGGGGCTGGGTACTCAGCAGCTAGCCCTCCAGCACCCACCCCAAGGGGGAATCATGGGCCCGATGCCCTCACCTTCTGGGCCTGGCTGATCATCTTGCGTACCACCTCCTTGATATGGACCTGGCCGTCCAGGGGCGGCTGCATGTAGACATTGGCCCGGGTCACGCCGCGGTAGGCGATGGTGTCAGGCCAGCCCAGGTCCAGCTGCGGGATGGAGCGGTCGGATTTCTGGGGCCAGTACTCCAGCGAGGGCAGTGGCTCCGGCTCCGCGGGGTCGCCTCCTTCCTCATCACCGGCTGTGGCTTCCTTGCCCTCGGGGACCCCAACGCCACTGCCGCCTCCATCACCGCCAGCACCACCCCCGTCGTCCTGCGCTGCCTGGGAGCAGCGGCCTGCACCCCGCGGGTCCTCCGAGCCAGGGTCGTACACCTCGATGGTCTCCAGGACGCGCCTGAGCTCCAGCTCCGACAGGAAGTCGCGGATGCTCTCTCGCTTCAGCACCTCATAATAGGCGTCGGGACCCCCGGCCGCCAGGGCCTCCAGCGCCAGCCGCTGCTCCTCGCTGTAGAAGAATTCGGGCTTGGACTCGCTGGAGCGCCAGTTCACATGGTTGTCGTCCAGGCACTGCACCTGGGAGAAGGCCATGGTGCCACCTTCTGCGGGGCTGGGGATGACTGGAGGGTGACAGCCGGCTCCGCCAGGGCGGGATCCTGAGGCTGGGCGTGCTCTGGGGCCTCGCCGGCTCCTCTGCCCATAAGGAACCTGCAGGGAAGGCGCTGATGAATGCAGGGTGCAGGTCAGAGGGCAGGCGGCGGGGAGGGGCGACTGCGGAGGCCTGGGGGGTGTGGCCGGGTGAAGGGAGGGGCGGCAGTGGGGGGGGACCCCCGGCGAGGGACAGGGGCTGGCCCTGAGATGAGGGATCCGGGGTGCGGGAAGGGTGGGCCACGTCCCAAGATTCCCCCGTCCCCCGGCACACTACGGGCGCTTGAAGGGGGCCAGCAGGGGATTCCACCCCTCGCCACTCCCCGCCCCCCGAAATTTCCCAGAGCTGTCTCAAGTTCTAGGCGACTTCTAAGAGGAGAAACTGAGACAGGCCAGGACGTTTCCTACAAGTTTCCGCAAGTGGGAGGGAGGCGCGAGACAAAACGGGGGCATGCGGGCCGCTGCTCCGCGGCACCCCGCATTCCCGAGAGCTTCCGGGAAGGGCGAGGGTCCGGAAAAAAAAAAAAAAAAAGAAAGAAAAAGAAAAACAAACCAACCAACCCGGGCGATGGGCAACCCCAAAGGCCTGCGCGGAGGAGGCCGGTGGCGCGGGCCGGGGTCTCCGGCGGGGACGGGAGGATCGGCTGCGCTTACCGGGCGGACGCGGGCGCAGCGCGCAGCCGGCGAGGGAGGCGCACGGCCAGCGGCGGGAGCCGGCGAGGGAGGCGCACGGCCAGCGGCGGGCGCCGGGAGGGGCCGGTCCGGTGACTAAGTGCCGTCCCGCCCACCTCGCCGCCGCCAACACCACCTGCGGTCACGTGCGCCAGGGGCGGGCCCGGAAACTGAGTCAGCCGGGACGGCGCGGACCGACGCCGACCAACGCGCGCTAGGTGCACGGGCCCCTCTGCTGCGCGCGCTAGTTCAGGGGCCAAAGCCCAGGAGCGCCTGGCACGCTGTAGCCCAGAGAGGGACAGTGGGGTGGCTGGGGTCGTGCAGCACGGACACAGCCTTGGCATACCCCTCTGCCTCCCCAGGGCGCGTTGTGGGCTCCTGGCTGTCTCTAGCTGTATTTGCCTGACGGGCGGGGCTGCAAAGATCCCGCGCTTCGGTTTCCCCACTCTGTCCTGTGGTGGAAAAAACGGTGGAGAAAGACCATCCTTGGCTGGGGACTCCTGGCAGGGGTAGGGCACCGCATGACTCCCAGCTAGGGTCTTGCGCGGAGCCCCGCGTGCTGGCAGCCCAATGTGGCCACTTGTTAGCCCTCCACCTAAGCCCTGGGGCGGCAGAGGCTTGAAGAGGCGGGCTGTGGGCTGAGGTCAGGCCGGGCTCTGCATGCTGCAGCGGCGTCCCTGGGGCCTGAGACCCTGGTTATGGGGAGTGTGGGGACCACATCTGAAGGCAGGACATCTCAGGGCGGGTCGGCAAAGCCCATTAAACCCGATGCCACAAACAGTCTGAGTCCCTGAGTGCGTCAGCCAGTCCACCAAGGCTCTGGGCAGCCCTTTCCTCCCCTCTGTCCCTTTGTCACCACTCATTCGGGCTGCCCACTGCCTGCCCTGTGCTGTGCAGGGCTGCCTGGCTTTGATGTTGCCAGACCTTGTGCACGGATGTCCTGCTGTCACTCCTCTGCCTGTGGCCGTGGCTCTCAGCTTGCCCGAGCTTCAGCCGCCCTGGGCACCAGTTCCCGTGCTCTGCGCTCTGCGCTCTGCGCTCTGCACAGCCTGACCCCTGGTTTTTCTCCAGGTCAGGCCCATCCACCTGCCTCCTCCACCGAACCAGGCCCCGGAATAGGAAGGGGGTCCCAGGAGTGAGCCATGCCCTGGCTCTCCTGGAGTCCCTTTTGCAGGCTTGCCAAGGAAAGACCCTCTCTGAAGGTGTCCAGACGACGGGAACCCCAGCTATCGGGACTGGAAGGCCTGGAGTCTCTGCAGTTCCCTGTGTGTGATCACCCATGGGCTAGAAATGACAAACAGAATGGGCTCTGGCACTCACCCTGCATCCAGCTTCCCCTGGTGGTGACAGCAGTGAGGGGAGGGCTCTGGCAGGGGGTGCTGCAGCCTGAGGGTGGATCCCAAGCTGCCCACACTGCTTCATGCAGTCAACCATGTTTGTGTGTGTGGCTGCTGAAGGCAGCCTTACTCCTGGGATGCCACCATTGCAGTCAAGGTCTGGGACTGGCCCGTCAGCAAGCAGAACTCTTGTCCTTAGCCAAACCTCACTCCGGCAAGTGGGAAACTGCTTGTCGTCTCTGTGATGTTTCAAGAATGCCATATCAGTGGGCAGTGTTGGTGCAGGGGCTCATAAAACAATTCATAGAAAACAGAATTTGAGGATAAGCGTAGGGGCTGACACTGAGGTGTAGTGGGTTAAGCCTGCATTCTGTGTGGGCACTGATACCCCACTTTTTTTTTTGAAAGATTTATTTATTTTTATCGGAAAGTCAGATATACAGAGAGGAGGAGAGACAGAGAGGAAGATCTTCCGTCCGATCATTCAGTCCCCAAATGACCGCAATGGCCGGTGCTGCGCTGATCCAAAGCCAGGAAACAGGAACCTCTTCCGGGTCTCCCACGAGGGTGCAGGGTCCCAAGGCTTTGGGCCGTCCTCGACTGCTTTCCCAGGCCACAAGCAGGGAGCTGGATGGGAAGCAGTCTAGATTAGAACTGGCATATGGGATCCCAGCATGCGTAAGGTGAGGCTTTTAGCTGCTAGGCTATCGTGCCAGGCCTTCCATGAGCTTTTTGAAATCTCTTTCTAGATTAAGCTTCTGGGGCTGGCTTCTCTCCCCGCCGAGCCTAATTCTCTGATTGTTGTTGGTGTCAGCGCAGCACCCCTTGCCTTACAAAGCCCTTTCCTGGAGAAGCCCATGTCAAGCTGAAAGAACCCCAAGTTGAAGATGTGTGGGCTGCACCTGCTTCACCAACAGCGGTGTGTGTCACGGCCCCTTGTGATGGAGGGGCTGCCCAGCACTTCCGGGGGAGCTGGACCGTGTGCTGCTGGGCTGGGAAAAGTTGCATTCAGCATGTGTAAGGCCATATTTATGGCAGTGTGTGCCCACAGACCATGAGTGAAGCATTGTGACATTGGGGAATGACATGGCATTGCATCTCATGACTGAGTAACCCACAGTGTTTTGCTGATGCTACCTGCTGTCTCTTCTTTTCTAAAAGATGATTTGTTTGAAAGGCAGAGTTATGCACATCTGTTGGCTTGCTTTCCAAATGGCTATAAGCGCTAGGGCTGAGGCAAGCTGAAGCCAGGAGCCTGGAACTCCATCTGGGTCTCCCATGCGGATGGCAGGGGCCCAGGCACTTAGGTCATCCTGTGCTGCTTTCCCAGATGCGTCAGCAAGGAGCTAGGTCAGAAGTGGAACAGCCGGGACTTGAACCGGTGGCCACATGGGATGCTGGCATCGCAGGTAGTGGCTTAACCCCCTATGCCACAACTCTGGCCCTGCACTGTTGGTGTGAACGTGGACGGGCGCATGGTTTGTTACAGGTAAAGCTGCTGTGGCCATCCGTGTATGGACCTCAGTGTGGAAGCCCGAGGCTGCACTGCTCTAGGCTCAGAGTCTCAGAGTGCAGCCCCGAGCCCAGGGGCATCTCTGCCTTACCAGCAGCCCTGTTGGCTACAGCACTCCGTGTTGCCTCAACAGGGTGGCTCCACACCCTGGCCAACATGGGCTGTCCCCACAGCCTTTTTATCTGGGCCAGGCTGGCGGCTGCACTTGGCTGATGTCAGCAAGTGTCTGGCCTGTGCTGCTGGGCCACTTGAAGGTCCCTCACCTTGTGGGAAAAGGCTTGCTCAGGGCTTTGGTCCATTTTTTTTTTTATCGGCTGGCTTATTTTTCATTCTTCTTTCTTATGTCTTATTCTCTTATTTATTTGAAAGTCAAAGCTACAAAGAAAGAAAGGGCGAGACATACAAGGGAGACGGCTCTTCTGTCACTCTCCAGATGGCTGCAGTACCTGGAGCTAGAGCCAGGAGCCTCTATGGGTCTGCCACGTGAAGCCAGGGGCCCGAGAAAGCTGTCCTCTGCTGCTTTCCCAGGTGCATTAGTAGGGAATTGGATGGGAAATGGAGCAACTGGGACTCGAACCAGTGCCTGTAGGCAGTGCCAGCGCTGCAGGCAAAGTGCCCAAGAGAGCTCACGAAGCTCTCTTGGGAAGCCCAGTGCCTGGGCCACAGAGCCAGGCATCGCAGAGCTGCCCTCAAGCCAGGTCTGTGTGCCTCCCCACCTGCTCTCTGGGTGAGGCGACAGCGGCTGTGTCGGCCATGGCTTCCTGCAGCGGGTTGCTTAGTTAGGCAGAACCCCCAACAGGTTGGCCTGGTCTGGCTTCTCCGGGGGTCAGAGCCTGATGAGGGGGCCTGGTGCACCTGACCTTGGCCGTGAGGGGCAAGGACATGGAGGCAGCTACTAGGGTATGGTGTGAGGGGGTGCAGCGTGTGTTTGGGGCAAGCCAGGACATTGAGGGGCAATGGTTTGAGCTGCTGTTCAGCTCCAGAGGAGCCAGCAGTGTCCGGAGGCTGCGCCCAGGCCTGGAGCCTGGTCTGGGCTGAATAAACTCGGGAGGAATCTCCTGACTCGGGCTTTTTCAACCATTAAGTGTCTGTGACACCTCCCGGTGCCTCCCAGGAGGGATGGGCCCTATGAGTGCCAGAGCCGGCCCAGTGGGGCAAGAGCCCATGGGAACCATGAGAATCCTCTTGGGGGCTCCTGAGCTGTTGTGTCCAGGGGAATATTTGGCGGGCAGCTGGATCACGCTGTGCCTGAATTCCTTTCTTGCTATTTCTGAACGCCTTCTTCTCAGGCCGCCTCCTCCTGTCTGCATGCTGCCTTTCCCTTGCCCCACTCACTTGCTGCCTCCTGCATACATTCAGCACAAGTTCAGTCTCCTGTGGGCCCAGCCCCTGGGCTGGGTGATACTTGAAATGACTCAACTCCAGTGTCTGCCTGGGTGGTGGTGGCGGTGAGGGGAGAGCTCTCGGTCCAATGGGGGAAACAGAATATGTAAACAAACTACTGTGATGCAATCTTTGGCTTTCCTGGGATCTTCCCGCCCCACCTCTGGCCCTGGTGGTAGAAGCTGGGGGGTGATGGTGATGTGTGTGGGGTCAGGGCCCTCTGCAGGGAGCCTTGAGGCCTGTACAGACAGGGAGTGGGGCGGGTGCGTGCTGGGAGAGGCGACAGAGTGCTGGGCGGGTGTGAGACGATTCAGGCAGGTTGGGCGGCAGGTGCACAGGCGCCACCGTGGTGTCCACATGGGAGGATCTGGGGCCTGGAATGCTGTAGGAAGGATTTCTGTTACTGTTTTTCCCCCCAGGATGTCTCTGCTCCAGGGTGAGGGCAGGGAGGAGTTCCCGGAAACAGCGGTGGTGTGTTGAGAGGGCATGGGGAACGGTGGGAGGCTCAGGGAAGGGGAAGCCATGAGCATGCTGGGGAGGGGGCAGGTGGGAGGGGCTGTCCCCTAGAGGCTGGGGCGGGGGATGGGGCTGGTAGAGGATCTGGGGTCTACCCCACACACCCAGTAGGAGGGCACAGGGCCAAGCCCAGGGAGCTCGTTGGTTCCTTTGTGGGGTTGCACATCTGTCCAGGGTGGGCAGCTGCAGGCCCAAGGCAGTAGGGAGAAAAGCAGAAACTGCAGGAGCAAGCCCAGGTCAGCCCAGGGCTGACAGGGCCAGGGGGCAGGCCTGGGAGAGGCAGGGAAGATCTGGCAGAGCCAGCTGAGGCCTCAGACATGGGGCGAGCTGGGTGCTGGAGACAGTAGCGAGATCTGCCTGGCAGCAGCTTGGGGCATGGTGTGAGCATCTGGTCTGCCCACCATAGCAGCTGGAAATGGTCTGACCTAAGCCTTGACTGCAAGAGTGGGGACAGAGCCCTGGATGGGTATGGATCCCATACCGTGTGTGTGTGTGTGTGTGTGTGTGTGTGTGTGTGTGTGTGTCTGACGGGGGGGGGCGGGCATGGTGCTCACGCTCTCTCCCTCTCCTGCAGATGACGTGGGCTGTGTGGTACCCAGTGAGTGCCTGCGGGCCTGCGGAGCTGAGATTGGCTGCTCCAACATTGCCTACCCCAAGCTGGTGATGGAGCTGATGCCCGTAGGTGAGGTGGAGGTGGGGTGGAGCAGGGCAAGGGGCTGGGTCTCAGGCCCCACGAGGGTCTTAAGAGGCCAGAGTGCAGCCTAGAGGGATACAGAGGGTCGGAGGAGTGGGGGGGGGGGGTGGGGGCTGGCCAGGACAATCCACGGAGGCTTCCCGGCAGAAGACTCCTGGTTACCCTGCAGAGCCTTCAGTGCTGTTAGCATCATTCCCACTGTAAAGATGGGGAAACTGAGACCTGCCAGGCACAAGGGTGCTTCCAAAGTGCGTGTGGGTCAAAAATCCAGGCAGAGATGAGAAGTTCACAGAAAATGCGTGCTATGAGAAATCCATGAATGAATTAAAAAAAAAAAAACCCATTTATTTATTTTTGCTTGAAAGGTAGAGTCCCAGGGAGAGAGGGACAGAGACAGACGGAGTGAGAGAGAGAAAGGGAGGTAGAGACACAGGGAGGGTGAGGAGGGAGGGAGAGAGATTTTGCATCTGCTGGTTTACTCGCCAAATGGCTGCAATGGCCAGAGCCGGGCTAATCTGAAGTCAGGATTAGCCTAGGTGAAGAGCTCCAAGCACTTGGGCTACCTTCTCCTGCCCTCCCAGGTGCATCGACAGGGAGCTGGCTGGGAAGCGGAGCAGCAGGGACTCGAATCAGAGCGCCTGTATGGCATGCTGGCCCCTGTGCATGGGTTAACAGCAGGTTTTGCCCCATGATGCATTTGCCTTTGAATTCCATTTCCCTGCACATGCTCAGAAGTTACTTGCTGAGCTGGCAAGCTGAGCGCTGAGCTCGGTGCTTCTGCTCGCTCAGCCTGCCCTACACCGCACCCTTACCCCGGGGGGTGGGGCACTTTTTCTTCTCTCATGCCTCCCGGGTCCCAGGCTTTCTAAGTCCCAGCTGCTTTCCAAGTCAGGCTCTCTGACTGAGGTTCCAGGGCCACACTGAGACCGAGACCCCAGGCACCTGCTAGGGGGCCCCCCGTGTGCATGGTCCTATCTGCCTTCTCCATGGAGCCCTGCCTGCTGTGCCTCTCCCACCCCACTCGTATAATGCAACAGCAAGTGGCGGGAAATTCCGAGACTAGGCTGGGACATGCTGGAGGCAGGCACGCATGCTCCCTGCTTAGGTTTGGGATAACCGTGGAGAGGTCGGCGCCCCAAACCTTGCTCGCCTCCCCGCCCACCCCCAGAGCTCAGGCCTTCAGGGTCTGCTGCTGCAAGCCTTACCTCTCTGAGCCCACCAGTCACCCAGGCAGTGTCCTGGATTTGCTCTCAGGACAGCAGGGCATGGCAGGCAGAGAGTCCGGGCCAGGCCAGGGTCCCAGCCAGTCCCCGCCCGCCCGCAGGTCTGCGTGGGCTCATGATCGCCGTGATGATGGCTGCACTCATGTCCTCCCTGACGTCCATCTTCAACAGCAGCAGCACGCTGTTCACCATGGACATCTGGAGGCGGCTGCGGCCCCGTGCCAGTGAGCGCGAGCTGCTCCTGGTGGGACGGTACGGGGTGGGCTCTGAGGGATGCGGAGGAGTTGGTTGGAGAGTCCCATGTGTCCCACCTCCCATGTAGCTCCTGTGACCTCATCATCTGGGGGATCCCCCTGAAGTGGGGGAGCAGCCCTGCCTTCCCCAGCCACAGGGCTCCCTAGAGAGGGGCACCCCACACCCCTGCTGAGCCTCAGAGGAGCCCCAAACTGGCATCCCATGCCCCTCTGAGCCTCAGAGGAGCCCCAAGCTGGCACCTATACCCCTGCTGGACCTCAGAGGAGCCCCAAGCTGGCACCTATGCCCCTGCTGAGCCTCAGAGGAGCCCCAAGCTGGCATCTATACCCCTGCTGGACCTCAGAGGAGCCCCAAGCTGGCACCTATGCCCCTGCTGGGCCTCAGAGGAGCCCCAAGCTGGCACCTATGCCCCTGCTGAGCCTCAGAGGAGCCCCAAGCCGGCATCCCACACCCATGCTGAGCCTTTCTTTGCTCCTAGCTGTTTGTCCTCCACTTCTTGATTTTCCAGGATTGTCCACATGTCACCTCCCCCAGGAAGTCCTCTCTGATGCCCTCCACCAAGGCATAAGCCCTTTTCTTTCTTCCTGTGTGATCCTGGGGGGGTCATTACCAGGTCTGCCTTTGCATCACAGAAAGACAGGGGCTGTTTCTGGGACCATCCCTCCCCTCCCCGTCTGAAGGGGACTGGATCTCTGGGCGCATGCCCGCGTCTCCTGGGCCCTGTCTCCCTCAGAGCCTCGTGGCCTTCCCTGTGCCAGCAGAGGGACCTGGCCTCTCTCTGGAGCTGACTTGGCTACCGTCGCAGCCTGCAGTGGCCGGGAGCCCAGGGTGCCCATCCTTGGGGTGGGGTCGGCCAGGAGCTGCAGGCGGTTGTTCTGGGGATGTAAAACAGCAGGGCCTCTGTCAGACGGGCCGTGTTGGGACCTGCCAGGCGGCCGTGAGGGTGAGCTCATCCCAAACAGGAGCCTCCTGCCTCCCCACATGGCCACGTGGCCTGTGCCCTTAGCTCCTTGACTGTTTCCTCCTTTTGGTCCTCCTGCTCTGCGGGCCGCCCCGTGGCCTGTCACTGGCTGTGACCTTTCCTCCATGGCCAGGGCCCTCTCTGCTCCTGCATCCTGGGGTGCCCTGGGTGTCTGTCCCCTGGCTGTCCACTCTGGCCTGGGACATGGCGGCTCCAGCACCTGTCCCATGGCCTTCCTGTGCCCTGCCTGTGATTCTTTGCTCACGCTCCTAATCCACCCTCACGTTTGTTTCACGTTTGTTTCATGTTTGTTTCCCTGACCTTTCTTTCCACCTGTTAGCCAAGTTGAGTCAGTTGTCCAGCTCAGGCCCTGTGGGGCAGGGGAGGGGGCTGTGTGGCCCAGGCAAGGTAGCCCACCCTCTCTGGGCCTGACTTTCTTAGCTGCCTGTTTAGCAGAATGGGGAAGTTCCACTGCCAGGCATCAGACTGGGCAATACTGGGGTTGGGGAACTGAACCACAAACCAGATTCCCCCGCCCTGGGCATCCCTGCACCTTCAACCTGTGAGCATGGCTGCAACCAAGGGAGACAAAACAGGGATCTGATCCCTAGGTTGGTATGGACTTGGGAAGGGTATTCAGTGCCCAGGCTTGGAAGTCACCATGGCAACCCTGGGTGGGAGGTGGTCAGAGGCCAGGACCCTGTCCCGGGCTGTGCTTGGAGCCCTGGGGGCTCCAGAGGATGTAGAGACGGGGTGTTGCAGGGTGGGGCAGGCCGGGTGCTAATGGAGGCTCTCCAGTGGCTTTGAAGAGACAGCGCCCACCTGCTCGCCTGCCAGGCGAAGGGTTAATTAGCCTTAATCAAGGTGTCACCTTTTTCCTCCGCCCTCTGCCTCAGGCTTGGAAAGGCGGGCAGGCAGTGGCAGCGGCAGCAGGTGCTGTGGTGGTGGTGGTGGGACCTGGCCCAGCTGCACGTACAGCCCCTGCTGTCCTGGCATGCGTCCCCGTGGGTCTCACCCACCTTGGGAAGAGGATGAGGACACTCTGCTGACCAGAGGGGGTGGGCAGGAGGGGTGTCTGAGAGCCGGGAGCTGTGCCCACAGGAGTCACAGGATGTGTGGGCGCCTGGGCAGGAGTGTGGGGGCAGTGCTGGGGCTGGCTGGGAGGGACTCAGCTGGCACAGCCAGGCTCAGTGGCCTGGAGGAGGAGGGTCTCATGGTGGCATCCACCTCCGCCCTTGCTGCCCGCAGGCTGGTCATCGTGGCACTCATTGGTCTGAGCGTGGCCTGGATCCCCATCCTGCAGGGCTCCAATGGTGGGCAGCTCTTCATCTACATGCAGTCGGTCACCAGCTCCCTGGCACCCCCTGTGACCGCTGTCTTCCTTTTGGGCATCTTCTGGCAGCGTGCCAATGAGCAGGTGCATGACTCCCACCAGCCAGGCTCCCTCTGTGTGTGTGTGTGTGTCTCCAGCCTGCCTGCCTGCATGTGTGTGTGTGTGTGTGTGTGTCCTGCCAGCCAGGCTCCCTCTGTGTGTGTGTCTCCAGCCAGCCAGGCTCCCCCTGTGTGTGTGTGTGTGTGTGTGTCCTGCCAGCCAGCCTGCCTGCCTGTGTGTGTGTGTGTGTGTCTCCAGCCTGCCTGCCTCTGTGTGTGTGTGTGTGTGTCTCCAGCCTGCCAGGTTCCCCCTGTGTGTGTGTGTGTGTGTGTGTGTGTGTGTCCAGCCAGCCACGCTCCCCCTGTGTGTGTGTGTGTGTGTCTCCAGCCAGGCTCCCTCTGTGTGTGTGTGTGTGTGTGTCCTGCCAGCCAGGCTCCCCCGTGTGTGTGTGTGTGTGTCTCCAGCCTGCCTGCCTGCCTGTGTGTGTGTCTCCAGCCTGCCTGCCTGTGTGTGTGTGTGTGTGTGTCCTGCCAGCCAGGCTCCCTCTGTGTGTGTGTGTCTCCAGCCAGCCACGCTCCCCCTGTGTGTGTGTGTGTGTGTGTCTCCAGCCAGGCTCCCTCTGTGTGTGTGTGTGTGTGTGTCCTGCCAGCCAGGCTCCCCCGTGTGTGTGTGTGTGTGTGTCTCCAGCCTGCCTGCCTGCCTGTGTGTGTGTGTGTGTGTGTGTCCTGCCAGCCAGGCTCCCTCTGTGTGTGTGTGTCTCCAGCCAGCCAGGCTCCCCCTGTGTGTGTGTCTGTGTGTGTCTCCAGCCAGGCTCCCTCTGTGTGTGTGTGTGTGTGTGTGTGTGTGTGTGTCCTGCCAGCCAGGCTCCCTCTGTGTGTGTGTGTCTCCAGCCAGCCACGCTCCCCCTGTGTGTGTGTCTGTGTGTGTCTCCAGCCAGGCTCCCTCTGTGTGTGTGTGTGTGTGTGTGTGTCCTGCCAGCCAGGCTCCCTCTGTGTGTGTGTGTCTCCAGCCAGCCACACTCCCCCTGTGTGTGTGTGTGTGTGTGTGTCTCCAGCCAGCCAGGCTCGCCCTGTGTGTGTGTGTGTCCTGCCAGCCAGCCAGGCTCCCTCTGTGTGTGTGTGTCTCCAGCCAGCCAGGTTCCCCCTGTGTGTGTGTGTGTGTGTGTGTGTGTGTGTGTCTCCAGCCTGCCTGCCTGCGTGTGTGTGTGTGTGTCCTGCCAGCCAGGCTCCCTCTGTGTGTGTGTGTCTCCAGCCAGCCAGGTTCCCCCTGTGTGTGTGTGTGTGTGTGTGTGTGTGTGTGTCCTGCCAGCCAGGCTCCCTCTGTGTGTGTGTGTCTCCAGCCAGCCAGGTTCCCCCTGTGTGTGTGTGTGTGTGTGTGTGTCCTGCCAGCCAGGCTCCCTCTGTGTGTGTATACTTTGGCCTCTCCTCTTGGTCCCCTCCTCCCATGCTCCCTGGAAGTTCCTCCGACCCTGCCTCTCTCCCTCAGGGGGCTTTCTGGGGCCTGCTCGTGGGGCTGGTGCTGGGCGCCACGAGGCTGACTCTGGAGTTCCTGCACCCAGCACCCCCCTGCGGGGAGGCAGACACACGGCCGGCTATCCTGGGCAGCCTGCACTACCTGCACTTGGCTGTGGTCCTCTTCCTTGTCACCGGCGCCATCACAGTGGTCGGGAGCTTGCTGACCCCTCCGCCTCGGCGCCACCAGGTGAGCCTTCCTTGACCCGGGACCCTCTCTCTCCTTGAGCTTCCCCACTGCCCTGCTCTGGCAGCCACCGTGCTTGCATCAACCGCCCCCTGGGGTGTCTGGGTTCATGTCGCCTGCCCTGCCATGGCCCTGTCCCCTCTTCGTTCTCTGCAGATTGAGAACCTCACATGGTGGACCCTGACTCGGGACCTGTCCTTGGGGGTCAAAACAGGTCAGTGGGTAGCCCTGGATGCTGCCCGCGCCTAGCTCCCCACCTGAGGCTGGGGTTGTTGGTTCCATGGGTGAGGGGCGCTGCATCCCCCCTCTGCCCTCCCGTTTCCTGCAGGTGCCGGTCACACGCCACAGAGATACGTTTTCTGGTCCCGCGTCTGCAGCTTCAATGCCATCCTTCTCCTGTGTGTCAACATCTTCTTCTATGCCTACTTTGCCTGAGGCCGTCGGCTGAATCTTCAAGGATCCCCTCCCCCCCCCCCCCCCCCCCCGCTTTTTTCCTTTTGTTGAAGACCCAACAGAGCCCCCAAAGCTAAAGCTAGGGTATGGTGGTGGGAGGGGTGGGGGAAGAACGTGGGATTTCAGAAGCATCACCATCCAAGTCGTGTATGTCTTAACTGGGAAGAAAACGAAGACTCCCAATGGACATTCTTCCACTGCTGTCTCGGCTTTTATTTTGCACGCACAGCCCCTGGTCAGGGCAGGGCTCAGGAAGGAAGGCCAGCCTGGAAGGAGGCAAGACCTCCTAGGGGTATGGAGGCCTCCTGCTCCATCCCACCTGCTCCCGGCAGCCAGGCGAGTGCTGCCTGGGACACCTTCCGGGTACACATCCCAGCAGCGCGGCTGCCCAGGCTGTCTGTCCCCGTCTCCCCTCCCCAGAATCCTGCTGGGTCCTCTGACACCCAGCTCTGGCCCCCAGCTTACCCCGTGGTGTGTGCTGGTTTGGACAGAACCTGGGCCCGAGGCAGACAGGAGTCAGCGCAGTTTGGGGCCTCCCACATGGCTGGGCACAGGGCTCCTATGTCCAGCAGATGAACAATTTTCATTACCACCAACCGGTTCCTTCCTCGGGCTCTCGGGCCCCTCCCCATGGGGTCTGTGGTAGCGGTGGGGTGCTGGATTACTCCCTCGATAGGGCCTGAAGTCATTGGTGTCCACTGGAATCTTTCTCAAGTCCAGCTTAGCAGGTGTGCCGCCGGCCGGCGGCTCGGGGCAGCCTGTACAATGGGAGGGGTCTCTGGAGAGAGAAGAGGCGGGGCAGAGGCTGGCCCAGCACGTGGTTAGTCCAGGCTATCCCAAGCCCTGCGTTCCTCGCAGGACGCGGATCCTAGGAGCCTGGGAGCTTGCCCGGGTGGAGGTGAGGCCTCTGCGTCACCCGTCCCATGGCGTCACGCACATGGCGAGCTGACCTCCGTGTGGTCACCGCGCCGAAGGCAGTCAGGAGCCAGGTCCAGGCCGAGGACGTGTGTGACCCGGTGGGCAGGCGTGTCCGTGTCCTCAGTTCCCCGTGTAATGGTCCGTGGGCCGCCCGCGCGTGGGTCACAGGTGCACGGGCTGCACGTAGCTCCGCGGGAAGAAGCCCACGCGCCCGCAGGCTCGGCCCCGCCACCAGTGCGGGTCCGGGCGCTCCACAACTTCGATGATGTCCCCGCGGCGGAAGCTGAGCTGGGAGGGGTCTTGGGCAGAGAAATCAAACTGGGCCTGCACAAAGGAGGCGCGGGGCGACTGCTAGGGAGGGGCGGGCAGAGAGAGAGAGAGAAATAAGTTAGCGAGGACACCTGCAGGACGCGCTGCCTGCCCCCCACCCTCTCCCACCAAGGAAGTGATTTGCTGCAGCTGTGGGGAGGGGCGGTCTTGGGGCTGAACCCTAGCCAATTGCAAGTCCAGATTTGGGGCCCTCGGGCTTCAGGGGCCTATGGCTGCCCCTTGGATAGAAGGGACCCTCTCCTGGTGGTCTAGCTGGAGGCACAGGGCTAGTGGGTCCCTGTTTCTGCAACAGTAGGCCCCACAGGAATGTGCCTTGTCAAGGGTGGAGTGTGGAGGCCTGTGGACCCTCCCTCCCAAGGGGCTAGGGCCTGGCTTCCAGGTCTTGTCCTGTCCCAGCATCAGGCACCTGGACAGCAGGCTTCTGCGTGGTGCCCCGGGCCTGCCTGCTCTGCCTGGGTCACAGCTTTAAGCCTACATACCCTCCTCCTCCCCCAGGACTGCAGGTGGCAGGAGAGAGGGGGCAGGCCGTCATTAGCGGTTCTCTACCAAGTGAAGACTGAACCAACTCCTAGTCGTGCTCCCCAGGGTGGGTGAACTCAAGGACCCAGGCTGGAGCTGGGGTGCAGGGGAGCCCTTTTGGGGCCCCTAGCTCCACCCTGGCTTCCTGTTTACCCTGGCCTGGGCAGCAGCAAGCAGGTGTTCTGTGTGGGGAGGACCAGCTGCGCAGACGGGTCCCCAGGAGCTCACAGCTGACCATGGTTCACAGTGGTGACCGAGAACGCGCTGGATAAGGGCTGACCGTTGTTGGTTACTTAGTTCTCTCCCCAGGCCTCGGCCTTGCTCCCCCACATCCTCTGCAGAGCCCAAGTTCATTGTCATAAGATCTTGACCTTTCCGCCCCAGGCCCTGCCAACACCCCCTTTACTGGGAAGAAAGAGCATGTTGGGGCTAATAACCCTGTTGATGTTGACTGGTGTCGTCACCCTAATGAGACAGGGCTGATGAAAAGGCTGGGCGGCAAAATTGCTGTTATTGTGAGTTCCAGGGCTGACAGGTCCCCTCCCCCTCCACACACACACACCATGGGCATGGCCAGGCCCTCACCCACAGGCATGCATGTTGCCCCACACTACGCTCGAGGCCAGCCCCTCGGGGAACGCATACCAGGACTGAGCCTACTGGGCAGGAGGCCACGGATGAGTCATCGTTCGTCTCCAAGCCTCGGTTTACCCATCCAGGCAGTGGGAACGGTGAGGCTCCCAGAGTCCAGCTGGGTGACCCCGTCTTGGGAGGAGGTGGGGACTCAACAGGTGTCTCTCTGCAGTCCACAGCAAGCATGAGTGACCCCCTGCCATGCTCACCCAGCACTTACGGAGTGCCTACTGTATACACACACGACCCTGCCAGAATTCCCTTCCTCCCGTTTTGCTTTCCCTGACTCTGCTTGTCCCAGTTTGCAGCTTGGCCACCCGGGTAGGAAGCTCTGTCTCCGTGACACCGAGGGAGTGCTGGTGTGGGCATCTGTCCTATGGGGGTGGGGATGGGGAGGAGGAAGTGGCCCTAGCCCCCCCTCTGGCCCTGCTCACCTGCAGCAGCGGCTCCTCATCCCGCAGGAAGATCTGGCGCTTCTTGGCGATGGTCGTGGTGCGGTAGAAATCCACCAGCTCGTTGAGGGAGTTGAACTTCTCCTCCCAGAGGAAGTACTTCCCTGAGGCCTCGCGCAGTACCTTGAAGTGTTGTACTTGGTCCCCATAGCTAAGGGAGAGGATGCAGGATGAGACCCTGGCCCTGCACCTGTCCTCCTGCAGCCTCCCACAAGCTGGACCTTCCTGTGTGGGGGTTCCCTGTGGGCCAGGGTGTGTGTGGGAGACCCCACTGACCCACAGAGCACAACCCCGGGCAGTGCAAGATGCGGTTAAAGACGTACCGCTTTCTCCCCTGCTGGATGACCATAAGCAGGTGGCTTCATGTCTCTGAATCCTGTGTGTTCCCACTGATGACTGCTCCCTTACAGGAAAGCATTGCACACACTGCTGGCTGTGCCATCCTGGTGGCCTTGCCCGGCCTCAGACCCCAGCCAATCCTGCCATTACTCCTCTCCACCGTCCCAGGCCTAACTGCAGGGCTGCTGTGCCCTTCGTGCAAACAGGTGGCAGGGGTGGGAGGGGGAACTGAGACTGCGTGTGGAGCTGTCATCTCATGCAAGGCTGGGGCAGGGCCCCTCTGTGCTCCGGTATTCAGCTGTCACTCCATGCACTCCCTAATTGATTATCATTATTTAACAATGGAAATAATTACTCCAATTAAGGAGTGCACAATGCCTCAGATTGTATCCGTGCAGGTGCGTCTCTTGCTGCCTGTCGCTGCCTGGGCCCCTCTCCACCCCAGGAGGCCCCCTCTTGCTCCGGCTCACTGACCGCTCACTGACCGGCACTCTTTCCACTTCCTGTCAGCCAGGGTTTCCTGCTCTCCCGGGGGGCAGGAGGTGGCGTGTGCGGTGAGGGGAGGCCAGGGACAGGATGGGGGTGCTGGGGACGAGCAGGTGCCACTGTCAGGGCCAGGCAGGGCTGGTGAGGCACCTGGCAGCCGGTGGGGCTGAAAGTGGGCAAGCCTGGGCACCTGTGGTTAGGGCTGAGGGGTGATCAGATGACACATGAGACATATGAGCCACAGCTTGTCCACATCTGGGGCTTGGAGGAGCCCCGGCTGCCAATCCGGAGACTTGGTGATTCTGACATTGAAAGTCTGTTTTGGAGCTGGCTTTGTGGCATAGCAGCACTGGCAGCCTGTGTGGGTGCCTCTGTGGGTCCCAGCTGCTCTACTTCCAATACAGCTCGCTGCTAACACACCCGAGGAAGCAGCAGAGGATGGGTCCAGTCCTGGGACCCCTGCCAATGTGGGAGACCCTAAACAGCTTCTGGCTCCTGGCTGCAGCCTGGCCCAGGCCTGGCTGCTGCAGCCATGTGGGAACTGAACCAGCAGATGGAAGATCTGTTTCTCTCTCTCTTTGTAATGCTGCCTTCATATATGTATATAAAAAATAATTCTTTTGGGCCCGGCGCGGTGGCACAGTGGTTAAGGTCCTCGCCTTGCACGCCCAGGATCCCATATGGGCGCCGGTTCTATCCCGGCAGCCCTGCTTCCCTTCCAGCTCCCTGCCTGTGGCCCGGGAAAGCAGTGGAGGATGGCCCAAAGCTTTGGGACCCTGCACCCGCGTGGGAGACCCGGAAGAGGCTCCTGGCTTCGGATCGGCATAGCACCAGCCGTTGTGGTCACTTGGGGAGTGAATCATCGGACGGAAGATCTTCCTCTCTGTCTCTCCTCTCTGTATATCTGCCTTTCCAATTAAAAAAAAAATTCTTTTACTCTGGGCGGGTTGGGAGGAAGGTACACATGAGCCTGGGCCAGCCCGCCCCGCCCCTCAGTGTCCCTTCCTCTCAGTCTTGGGGCTGGGGTGCTGCTGGGTTAGAGGGTTCGTACAAAACGGATCAGACCCATATCAACGCAAGGTCACGGACAGCCCTCTGTATTGGGGAGGGGGGACCAGGTGAGAGTCTCCTGATGCTGCCAAGGGGTCCAGGACCCTGTCTCTTTCCATTTCAACACACAACACTGCCCTTGCCCACAGTCTAGCATGCCTAGGTAAAATGGCCCATCTCTGAGAGCTGCCCCAGGCCCCCTTAGCCAGAGCCACACGCCTCCTTGGGTCTCTTTAGCCCAAAGACACAAGGAGGCAGGATTAGCCCTCCAAAAGCCCAATCAGCTGTTGGCTTCCTCCCAGGGGTTCTGAGTGGGGGCTGGGGGTGGCTCCCAGCCCTCCAGGGGTCCTGCCTTCTGAGCTGGGGCTGAGCTGGGGTTGCAGGTGCACCTGGTAGCAGGGCATCCAGGGCTCAGGGTGGTGGGGGTGTTCAGCTCAACATGGAGCCCACCCTTCCTGTGGGCAGGACGTGTGTGTCCCACTCAGCCTTCCGGAGGCCACGCCCCCACCCCAGGGCAGCCTCTTGCGCCCCACCACTCCTTGGGGCCCTGCCCGGACGAACTTGGGAGTTTTACTGAACTTTGGCCCGGTACACAGTGAATAATGGCTGGCCTGAGTGAGAAGCTGAAAAGTGGGGAATCCTAGCTGCGACTGGGGCGTTGGGTGAACCCAGAGAAGAGCCAGAGGGGGCCCTGTAGGAGGAGACTGGGGACAGGCAGTCCCACCCTCTGCTCCAGGTCAGCGGCCAGAAGAGCAGGCAGTAGGCTTGAAGATTTCAGTCCCCAAAGACGATGACTTTGAGTGCTTTAGTGTTTGAAGCTCAGCTCCCATAACCTGGAAAGTCAACCCAGAATGATGGAGACAAGAGGAGGGCAAGCAGGAATTCTAGAACTTTCCAAGTGGCAGTCTGAGAATTCTCAGATCTGGGAACACGTGTTGCGGGGCACAGCAAGTCCCAGGTTTGTCTTCCCTCACGTGTGATGGGTTGGACTTGGTTTGAGGCTTTTGAGCATTGGATTTTAGTGCCCACTGCAGGTGGGAGGTGCTGCTGTGGCACAGCCCATAATGGGTGCTGGTTCAAGTCCCAGCTGCTCCACTTGTGAGGACGGCTCGTGTGTGTGTGTGTGTGTGTGTGTGTGTGTGTGTGTGTGTGTGTTGTGTTGTGTGTGCTGTATGCGTTGTAGCCATTTGGGGAGTGAACTAGCAGATGGATGATCTTTCTCTTAATCTCTCCCTCTGCCTTTCAAACAAATACAGAAGTGAGTGCCACGCCTAGGCATTAAATGACAGACTCAGGTGATGGGGGGGTGTCATAAGGAAGGAGCCCCCCCCCCCACCCCTGGACTCCCTGAGCTGAGGCACGGGGCACAAGAGAAAGATGAATGGTTCCTGTCTCAGTGGCAGCCCTGGGTTTCCTGGGTGAAGCACCAGCACAGAGGTGGGGGTGGGGAACTGCACGCCCTTAACCGTGTGGCTGCAGAGAGCTGAGTGCAGCGAGCCTGTGCCCACCCGTGTGTACGCGTGTCCATGCGTGTGTGAGCATGCGTGTCTGTCCGTGTGTATGCGTGCAGGTCTGTGTGTGTCTGTGATTTCAGCACACAGTCTTTGGCTGATTCCCAGGTTTACAGACCTGAGAGGAGAAGGCGGTGGGCTGCCCTGTCCATCCCTGGCCTGGCCATCAGTATCATGCAGTCCTGCCCCCTTCTCCTTCCCCAGCTGCCCTCGGAGGCCTGAATATCACCCTCCCCCCACAGCCGGCCCTGTCCTCTGCAGGCCTCCTCCCCACCCCCACTGCCACCCACAGGCCCAGGGCAGCTAAGCCTGGGTCCTAGTGGGACCCTGGGTGGGGGATATGAACAGCCTCTGCCTCGAGGTACGGAGGAGCAGGTCTGGCTGGGGCCTGTGCGCTGTGATGGGCACAACCCTGATACCTGGCCTGGTGCCTCCCATTCTTGCGGGGGGGGGGGAGGTCACTGAGCAGTCCTGGAGGTGCTTGCCCTGTGTGTGACCCCCACACCCGCCTCTGCAGGGGGAGGGGCTGGGCCAGGCCTCCTGGGCTGCCAGGAAAGGCCCAGGGTCCAAGTGCAGACTCTAAGGCTTCCAGCAGCAGCAGCAGCAGCAGCTGCCACAGCTGGTCTTGCCCAGCGGGTTTTTCTGGCCTGGTGGCGGTGGCAGCAGTAGCAGCAAAGGTGACAACAGAAGCCTCGGGAGGAAAAACAAGGCCCCAGGACTCCCCCAAAGCTGGGGTCTCCCCCAGGCCAGGGGTCCTGCCTGACCCCAGCCTGGCCATCTGTCCTGTAGCACACAGGAAGTTGAATGACTTGGACTGTGTGTGTACAGTGGCTGGAGACGGATTCCTACCGAGGCTCTGGGGCTCAGGGGGAAGTGGCCTGGGCCATGCTGGGCACTCGGTGACTGGCAGGGTCCCAGCTGCTGTGCCAGCTTGCCCTGGCTCCAGGACGCCTCTGCCATCCACGGAAAGGGAGCAAAGACACCGTTCTGGGGGACAGAGTGTCAGCCAGGGCTGTAGTCCACGTCCCACATGGTCTGGAGTGCAGGGTGGCCTCGCAAGCGAAGCCTGGCCTGCCCACGGCCTGCTGGCCACCAGCACACTGGGTGTTCTCTGGTGGTGGCGGAGGGAAGGAGGTGTGTGAGTGAGGGGGCGGGAGTGGGGACAGCCCTTTGTAAACTTGTAAAGTGCAGCTTGCCGCGGCCGGCCGCTGTTTCTCTGTGAGGCTGCACGAGGCCCATAAATCCCACCTCTGACAGCTTTATGGGGCTTGGCCTGTGCTTGTGGGAGATGCCAGGGTTCCCGAGAGCCGGCGAGGGCCAGGGGAGCTTGCCCACGTGGGGCTGCTGGGCCGTCACTGGCTGGCAGGATGCTGTCTCCGAGTCTGAGACGAGGGTCACACGACAGGTGCGGGGCCAAAGCCCCATCCTGTGCCACCCTCTTGTCTCTGACAGCCCCAGTCTTATGGGCCAGGACAGGCTGCCCCCAGCCCCCTGTGAGCCTGTCCTGTGGCCCCCAGGGAGAAATGTTACATAGTACAATTGTATGTGCTAATCATCTCCCATCCAAGTACTAACCAGGCCCGACCCTGCTTAGCTTCTGAGATCAGACGAGATCTGGTGCGTTCAGGGTGGTATGGCCACAGGCCTCCTCCTCTGGCCAGTCCCATCCAGGAACTCCCGGCTCTGCCTGGAGGAGAAACCCAGGGTCCAGCCTGCCCCCTGCTGCTCGCATGCACTAACTACATCCAACTGAACACAGGAAGCTTTTGTAGGTTCTGACCTTGCAGCACTTAGCAGGGACGCCTGGAGGCCACCTACCGGGGAGCCCTCTTACTGGGACACTTCCAGGTCCCTGTATGGCTAATATTCCCTCCTGGCCAACTTCTCCGTTGCTATTCAGACACCCAACGCTTCATACTCCACCTCTGGCTGTCTGCAATTCCTGCTGCTGGGACATTTTCTCCTCTCACTGTGCACCAAGTTCCTACTTGTCTTATGGGCCCCAGCTCAGACACGCCTCCTGCTGACTTGTGTCCACTGCCTTGGAACTTCCTCTCAGAGCCCTGCAGACGGCTGAGCCTATCTTCCCATCTCTTCCTGCCCAGCCCTCTCCTCGGCCCTGCTCTCTCTCTCTCTCTCTCTCTCTCTCTCTCTCTCTCTCTCTCTCTCACACACACACACACACACACACACACACACACACACGCAGCTGGGGCTCAAGACCCCTGGCAGGTGCAGCGCACTTCCACAGAGACGTCGGCAGAGGGCAGTGCAGCAACAGCAGCGGTGGCTTGGGGCCCCCCTGCTTTGCGGGGTGACCTCCCATGTCGGGTCTCATTCCAGGAGACTCTCCAAGATGGATCAGCCCGCCGGCCAGGCGCCGTTCCCAGGAAACGACCAGGCCCTTGGGAAAGCAGCCACTTCCTGCCGCTAGAGAAAAATGCAGGAGGGGCTCCCTGGGTCGGCAGGAGAGCTGGGACCTGGGCTGGGGCTGGGGGCCGGAGCAGCACCCTTGCCAGCATTCAGACAACCTCCCCCATTTCTCAGATCAAAACGTGCAGCCTGGTTCCTCCGGAAGAGAAGGAAGTGAGCTAGGCTGGAGGCCAGAGGTGAAGTGGGTGGGGTGGATCAGGAGCAGCCCCGGAGTGTGTGTGTGACTTTTGTGACACCAGCTCTGCCCCCAGAACTGCTTCCCACACTCCCAAGGCGCAGTGAGGGCGAGGGCCAGTTCGCAGGGCTGTCTGCGCATGCGCCGAACCTAGTGGCCATCAGGCCCCTGCCAAGCACACTGATGCTACACAGGCAGGGCCCATGCAGGGCTGGGCTGCAGCCCGGGACCTCACAAAGCCCTTGTGGCCTGCTGGAAGCCACCAGCTGTCCTATGTCAATCTGTCTCTGCTTCTTTTGTTTTGGGCCCCTCCAGCTCTGTGCCCCATGCACTGGAGTCTCACCCCCCAGTCCCAGCGTTAGGCAATGCACCCATCGGTGTATTTGTTGTTCCCCTGGAAAGCACAGGGTTGCTGACTGGGGGTCCAGCTGTCCCAGGGAAGTGGATGGACACCCGGCAGAGCTGAGCCACCCTGAGGCCCACCCCTGCCTTCCCTCCACGCCCCATCCTGCCTCCAGGACTCCGTGTCCAGCACCAGCTGTGTGCCAGCCTGTATGCCAATGCCCACGGCAACTGTTGAGAGCTGGTTGTCCCCACGGCACGTAGCCACGCCCTTTCTGGGGTCTGGGCGGTTCGGATGGGGCTACCTCCTCCGTCGGGCCCCCTGGCTTCCTTCCACATCCTTTGTGGAGCATTCCTTTCTCCTAGCTCCTGGCGTGTGGCTCAGAGCTCAGGAAATTGTCGTTGGGTTTACGTACCTGGACAATCCGCTCTGTCCGGGGGACTGACCCTCTAGCCCAGGTCATCTCTGCGACACTTCCCGCCCCTACCTCTTTCCTGCCACACTGGGACTCGAGTGTGTGTCCTGTCCCCGCACCATTCAGTCTGTGGACCCACGGACTCCTCGCCGTCATCATCTGTTTTACATGAGGAGGAAACAGGCCCCCCACAGAAGTGGGGTCACGGGCCAGGAAGCGCGGCCTGTCTGCTGCATATCCTGGCCACCTGCTGCCTGCGCCCCGCTGCCCCTGCCTCCCCCTGGAGACACGACCCAGCAGTCAGGAGCCCCCCAGGCCAGCCTCCTTCTAGTACAGCCCCATCACTGCTCTGGCAGCACCTGCCACCTCGGACGACTGCCACCTGTTCCTGCCATGCTGATTCCCTACCAGGTCTCCCTAGGCCCTGAGGCTCAGCTGGGACGCGGCCTCTTCTACCCCACGCAGGCCCCGGCTCACTTCACGGACACGGAGAACTCGCCCGGGGAGCTCTCGCTCTCGCGGATCAGGAAGGCTCCCAGCTGGTTCCGCTTCATCAGAATCTCTTCGGCCAGCTGCCGGGAAATCCTGCCGGAGTACCACCTGCAGGGAGAAGGCCTCTGAGGATGCTGGGGGAGGCCAGGCCCTCGCCAGCTGTTACCCTCCACTGCCACGAACTGGGCTCAGAACGTGCCCAGGCCTCATGACAAAGCAGTCCTGGGAATGAGGGAGAGGTGGCTGTACCCACTGTGCGGATGGGGAAACCAAGGCACAGAGAGGCGAAGGGAGTCAGCCAAGGTCGCACAGCCACCAAAGCGGCTGGGGGTGGGGACACAGCCCCAACGTTTTGGCTCCTGAGTCCAGCCGGTCCTGCCAGGCCAGGGCCCCTACCATGATGTACATGGGAGGACTGGGCTCTGATGTGAACAGCTCAGCCAGGTTCAGCCTAACCACGGAACATCATCTCCCGTGTGCCTTGCAACTGTGTCTTCATGAACTTTAACACATTTATTGATGAGAGAGACAGTGAGAGTCTGCAATAGCCAGGCCCGGGTCGGAAGGCAGGGACCCGACTGTGGAGCCGTCACGCTGCCTCCCAGAGTGTGTCTGAGCAGGAAGTGGGAGCGGGGACTTGAACCCTGGCACTCTCAGAGGGGATGCAGGGTAACTGTTCTCATTTCAGCGGTGGACTCTTCCAAGTCCACAAGCGGAAAATAAGGAGCAGGCCTTTAAGGGGAGCAGTTGAGACACCCCCATCCTGCATCACAGAGTGGGGGTTCCATTCCTGGCTGCCAGGCCCGACTCCAGCCAGACCCTGGCAGGCAGCACTGATGGCGGAGTTCCCAGCTGCTGGTGGCTTCAGGTGGGCCCAGCCCTGGCTCCCACAGGTATTTGAGAACTTTCTCTCTCTGTCCCTCTGTCTCTTACATAAAAGAAAATTCTGAGGGCCTTGGGGGCAAAAGGCTGGCTTCCAAGTTCTCTCTCTCCAAGTTCCTGAAGCCTCCCTCGTGGCTTTAGACCAACAATCTAGCTCCTCTTCCCCAATTCTGTGTGTCACCTTCCGTCGTGCTGTGGTCCCCGAGGGGCACCCTCCCTTCCTGTTTACCTCCTTGCTTGCTTCCCCTGGGAGGGAGGCCAGGGAAGTGGGTGCAGGAGTGGGGCGTCTGGGGGACCCCTGAGGCCGGTACCCTGCTGCCTGCATGAGACTGGAGGTCAGAGGTGAACAGGAGCCATGGCACGCCCAGCTGGGGTGACCAGGAACTGCTGTGAGCACCTCCACCAGGAAGCCCCCCAGGGTCAGCCCAGTGCATGGGAGTTTCCCCGGGGAGTTAGGTGTTTCTGTAGAACCCACAAAACCCCACAGGAGGCATCGGTGGGGGGTGTCCCAGTAGCAGTCTTTACAGGATATGTCCCCGATGGGGTTCTATGAGTGACAAACCCTTTGTGGGGCCATGCGCCTTGTGCTACCCCACACCCCGGTCTCACTCACATGGAAATTGAGCCCCTAGGAGCTGGCACAGCAAGTCCATGGCCTTGGAGCGTCCAGGTTCACAGCTGCTCCCACGGGCACCACCACAGCCTCCCCCCCCCCCACCTAGCAGCAGCCCTGTGTCACCTGCAGATAATGAGGACAGCCCCTTGGGAGATGAGCTCCCAGGGGTCTGGGTGTGGGGTTCCCTATTGCTACGTTCCCCTTCCTTGGGGAATTTCCCCTCAAACCTCCAGATCCAGTGCGCCATGCCCTTCCTCCAGGGAACCCTCCTTGAGGCCCCTCTGGCCTTGCAGTGGCTTAGATACATCATGGTCCATGTTGGAGATTGGGGTCTGCATTGCGCCTCTCCCAAGGGGCGGGTGGGCGGGTGGTGGGGTTGTCCAAGAATGCACCTGGGCAAGATCTCAGGCAGGTGGGCTGGCGGGGGACAGCGGCTGGCTCCAGTCCTGCTGTGTGCTGTGCACAGATGGCCAGAGCGGACTCCGGGGGCACCAGAGGCTGGAGCCCTCTAAGGCTCCCCAGTGCCCTCCAGGCATCTTGCCCTGTCCCCAGCAGGTGGAGACCTCTGCTGAGCCTTCCTAAGCAGCTTCAATCTTTACCAGGCTGTCTTTGGTCACCCAGACGGGTCTGCCTGGAGCCCTTTCCTTGGGCAACTCTGAGGGGCCCAGCAGGGATAGGGCAGGTCTGGACCCTGTCTCCGGAGAGGCTGGGAGATCCGGAGGGAGCCCCAGCAGGGAGGCGGGCTGGGGACCAGGGTGGGGGCGGGGGCCGTGCCCAGCTCAGGAAGCTGGAGGCGGTGGCACAGCATTGGAAATAGCTGCGTGAGAGGTAAAGAGGAAGCACCCCTCGGGCCTCACCCTGGCCCGCCCACACCTCCTTCCCCTGCCACCCACTGCTGCACGCACGCATGCGTCATCCCTGAGCTGTCATTGGCCTTCCTTTCCTAACAGCTCCACGGCCATCACCCCAAGCCCCCGCCCTGGGTTCTACCTTGTCGCTCTCGCCTCTGCTCTTCCCCGGGTCTGCTAGGCACACGTTTCACCTTGCAACTCCTGCACGTCCTTCAAAGCCTCAGCTGTCCCTGGTCAGTCCCTCAGTGCTGCCTCTCTGCCACAGTGCAGAGCTGTGCAGACCCCTCTGTGTCTCTGGCATCGCCCCCGCTGGCCTCCCTGGAGCCACGGCTGCTGTTGGGTGGCCTGCTGTGTCCTGTGGGTGGCCACAGGCATCTTTGAAGCAACGTCATCTGGTTTCAGACATGCTGAACTCTGTCTCCCTCAGTCACAGGACAGCCGTGCTGGTTGCCACCTGCTGACCCTGGCACAGCAGGTGCCAGGTCCCCAGCAGACCAAGGCCCACACGTGGCTCGCAATCCACCCTGGGCCCAGATGGCTCAGCCAACGTCCCGCTCTCCTGACAAGGGAGTGAGGTGTCCATGCGAGGTTCCATGTGCTGGGCCAGGCTGGAGCTGGGGTGGTGGGGAGCGAAGGGGAGCCCACAGAACCCCAGGACTGGGGGACAGAAGACACCTACGGGTGAGGCTTGACTCGAATGTAGTTTTTGGGCACAAATCCCTCGGCACCTCGGAGCTCTGCCTTGTACCAGTTCTGGTCGTCTTCCATGTTCAGGATCTGTGGAGAAAAGGGACACACAACTCTTGAGGCCCCAAGGAGTGACAGGTGTCACCTGCGTAGCTCCTGCATACCAGATCCCATGCGGGCTGACCTGCCACAGCGCCAGCCCCTTTGTCCACTCTGGATGACGGCTGGGGTGCCCTGCCGGGGTCTTCCCAAGACAAGGGACCCATAGGGGCAGGTTTCTCTCTTTCTTTAAAGGATCCCGGCCTCCCGTGGTAGGACAGCTGGGGAGCAGAGGGGCTTGGAGTCGAGGTTTTGGGCAGGTGGAGGTGGGCTCTTTGGCTCTGTCACCTAGACCTCCAGCTGCTCCTGACCCCGAGGCACCCATAAGTCCCGCAGATGGGCCCAGAGGAACTGAAAGTGCCCGAGTGGGTGTGGGGAGGCACCGCAGGTGAGTGACCAAGCATGCAAGCGAGAGGAGGAGCCAGCTGGGCCTGGGCAGAGGGGAACGCATGAAACTTGGGGTTCCTCTTCCATCCTCGTCCACCATCCCACGCAGCCCTCCAAAGTCTCTCTGACGCTGTGGCCCAGAGGGAGTGGGGTGTGGTGGGGAGGTGGGCCTTGGCCGAGGTCACATGGCCAGGAAGAGGCAGGCTGTGTGCTCAGTCAGGACTGAGGCCTGGGGTCTGAGTTGGGGGGGGGGGATGGGTGTCCTGGGCCACCAGCATGACCCCCACGCCATCCCCCATTTTTGGCCCTGTTGCTAAGCTTGGGCAGGCAGTTCTCCTGTCTGTTCTATAGCAGGCTCAGACGTCCGGGCAGTCCCAGGTGAGGGCTGGAGGTAAGGGTGGAGGATACTTATGGAGAGAACACTGGGTTGCTCAAGGCTTGCGGGCGTGCCGAGGCAGCCTTGATGCTTTGCTGAGTCCCTGGAATCGACTCCCACAGGCCTGGGTTGAGTCTCTCTTCCTTCCTGTCCCTGCAGCCTGGGGTAAGGTCAGCAACCCCAGAGGGAGCCGGAAGCAGGTGGCTGAATCAGGAAAACTATTGCTTTCAACACAAAATTCCTCCACTGCCACCTGCCACCCCAGCCTCGGGCACAGACGAGGCCCTGTGAGCTGCCTGCCACGACCACGGGCCGAATGCTGTGCTGGGGTCGGGGGCCCTGCTGTGACCCATGGGCAGCCCACACGGGACATAGCAGTGTCTTGGGGACTGAGATTGCCCCGGGAGTGTGACTGTAGCTTGTTTAGCCTAACCCTTGTCTTGCTTTGTCTCGCTTGTCATCTCCACTGAGACCCAGCAATGGTCTCGTTGGTTCTGCTTGCTGGGTTCTTGTTTGTTTATTTTCAGGCTTTTATTTAATTATTCACCTATTGTTTTTGAAAAGCAGATGTACAGAGAGAAGGAGAGGCACAGAGTGAGAAAGAGGTCCTCTATCTGCTAGTTCACTCCCCAGATGCCACAACAGCTGGACCTAGGCCAGTCTGAAGCCAGGAGCTTCTTCCAGGTCTCGCATGTGGGTGCAGGGGCGCAAGGACCTGGGCCGTCCTCTGCTGCTCTCCCAGGTCATAAGCAGTGAGCTGGATCAGCAGTAGAGTAGCTGGGTATAGATCTGGTGCCCATAGGAGATGCTGGCACCACATGCTGTGCCAGCCCCTATTGGCTGAGTTCTTACCATTGTTGCTATTCACAAACCTCCCCCAGCCACGACCTGGCTGCTGCCTGTGCGGAAGGAACCTCCAACAGCCCGGTTCAAGCCTGCTGTTCCGCCTCTGATCTAGCTCCTTCCAAACGTGTGTGGGGAAAGCTTGGCCTGCTGCCACCCCCATGAGAGACCCGGATGGAATTCCAAGCTCCTTGGCTTCCGTTTGATCCCGTCTTATTTGGGGAGTGAACCACCAGGTGGAAGATCTCTCACTGTGCATGTCCCTCTCTTTGTGACTTTGCCTTTCGAATAAATAGGTAAACCTTTACAAAAGGTCCATCAAAGGGCCCGGCGCGGTGGTGCAAGTGGTTAAGGTCTTCGCCTTGCACGCCCGGGATCCCATATGGGCGCTGGTTCTAATCCCGGCGGCCCCTCTTCCCATCCGGCTCCCTGCTTGTGGCCTGGGAAAGCAGTCGAGGACAGCCCAAGGCTTTGGGACCCTGCACCCGCGTGGGAGACCCGGAAGAGGCTCCTGGCTTCGGGTCGGCATAGCATCGGCCACTGCACTCACTTGGGGAGCGAATCATCGGACGGAAGATCTTCCTCTCTGTCTCTCCTCTCTGTATATCCGCCTTTCCAATAAAAAAAAAAAAAAAAAAAAAAAGGTCCATCAAAGTCTTAGGATTTAACCTTGACCTTGCACAACCCTGAGGCAATCTCACTGCCTCCTCAGGAATGCTTGCTTTTCTGTTCTGCAGAGCTCTTGCAAGAGGCAGAAAAAAAGAAAGAAGGAATGAAAGAAAGAAAGAGAGAAAGAAACCACGAATTCCTACCTACCTCCTGTGTCTTCCCCCACATTTGTCAGAATAGTGCTTTCTGGTTTTTTTTTTTTTTCCCTCTGTGTACAAATCCAGAGCATGGATAATCTGTTTCCCCACCACGAAACGAGCCTGGAGCATTGTCTGCGTATAAGCGAGTGGTGGTGTGGATGTGTTTACATTCTGCCACTCAGCGTTGCGTCCCGTGCGGTTCTGGGTCATTAATTAGGCACTCAGAAGCTGTCTGGCATTTTGCAGCATTTGAGTAGGAGGGTTCCGGCTCTCACCGGCATGCCCAAGAGGCTGCTGGCATTTTGCAGCATCTGGACTGAGAGCCCTGGCTCTCACCGACATGCACAGCCTCCCCACTGCTTGCTTTTTCTCTGGCACTGTCCTCCTCCAGCTCTGGCCAACTGGGTTCCTCCTGTGCACCAGGTGCGTGCTCAGCGTGGCCAGCGGGAGGAGGTGGGCAGCAGGGCTTGGGGCTGTCACTTCCCTGAGGATTTCCTGGGGGCCCAGCCTAGGTCCTGGGACACGCTGGGAGCTCCCTAAGTCCTTTTGAAAAAGTTACTTATCTGATTAGGAGGGAGGGACTCGGGCAGGGGTGGGTGAGATCTTATCCACTGGCTCACTTCCCAAACGGCCACCGGGGTCAGGGCTGGGCCAGGCTGATGGGTTCCCATGCGGGGAGACCCGCCAACTTGAGTCTTTACCTGCTCCCTCCTCAAGTCTGCACAGCAGGCAGCTGGGATCAACACTCTGGTATGGACAATACTGAGCCACCGGGTCAGACACCTGCTCCCCCAAGGCCTTGGTGCTGGAAGGTGTCTGGGTTACAGGGTGTAGCTGCCTTTCGGGTTGTCTACGTGTTTCCCAAATACACATCACAAGGCTCGTGTCCGTTGACCTGTTTGTGGCCTATACAGAAGAGTGTCCACTTCCCCACATCCTCAACCCCTTTTGGAGATTCTTGTTTACATAAAAATTTGCCGCAGGGGCCAGTTGTCAAGCCACCGCCTGCAATGCCATCATCTTATATGGGCACTGGTTCAAGTGTTGGTGGTTCCTCTTTCTATCCAGCTCCCTACTGACGTGTCTGGGAAAGCAGTGGAAGACAGCTCAAGTGCTTGGGACCCTGCTGCCATGCGGGCGACCTGGAAGGTTCCCAATGTCCTTATAGCAGAAGCTGAAAGTACCCCCGCCCCCCTTTTGAGTTCTGCTGACTTTCAAATAAATAAACCTTTTAACCCTGCAGCACAGGCAACCGTGACGCAATGCCATCACTGGGCTTTTGGGAATGTCAGCTCCAGGAAGCACTTAGAACCATGAAGCTTGGTCTGGGGCAGGTGTCCGAGGAGCTGTCTGCTGACAGAGCAGGGACGAGGCAGGCCTCTCACGGCCTCTTGTTCCTCCGTCAGTCCTTGAGCTTGAAACACCTGCCTCGTTTGGGCAGTTTCCACCGACATTTCTCCCTCTGCCTGCCCACCTGCCTTCTCTCTGCCGATATTCCCCACATTGGCAAGAGTCCGCTGTGCGCCCATCACTTGCCACTCCAGCCTGGGGCTTGCTGGGACAGGGGCTGCTCCCACTGTTTTGTCAGACAACACCTCTGTTCCATAGGAACTCCCCAGGAGTCAAGGTTAGTTGGCAGGGGGTGGTGGGAGGAAGACAGCATGCCACCGTTGCCTGAGGGCACCCCTACCCCACTGGGTTTTTTGGGAATATTTATTTTTTTAAGGCTTCCTCTCTCTTTCTCTGTCTTCCCATCCCCCACTTGCCTTTGTCTATGTCCAGTTCAGTCCTCTGAGCTGAGGTCACAGCCCCCTGCTGGCCCATTCCTTCCCACTCCCTAGACCTGCGTCTATAGACCAGAACACCCTCAGGCCGGCAGCCAAGCTCAAGGCGCTCAACAACGCGGGCCCTGGCTGCCCCGTCCTCCTGCCCAACCTGCCTCTGGCCCCAGCGCCTACATGTGCACGGGACCCAGAGTCAGCAGCTCGATGCCAGCGTCCTGGCACAGGGGAGGGGGAATTCCCCAAGGCCATGTGGCTACTCTTGTCCCCGGAGGCAGTTCTGCACACCCTAATCTGGTTGCTCAGGTTCCCGGACCAAAGGGATGCGGGTTCCCATTTGACTCCCTTTGCAGGCAAGTCACATCACCTTGCTGCCTGGGCCTTAATTTTAGTTGCCTGTGAAATGGGAGTGCTAACCCCCCACCTTTGTTCTCAGCAGCTTATTGGAGACAATGTTGCCGAGTTTGGAACCAGCCGCAAGAGTCCCTGTCCGTTTTGTGAGATAGTGAGGCTCCATGGTGGGACACAGAGGGAACTGTCCACTGCTCCAGGTGCCAGACTGAGGCCCGGGAAGGGGCAGCTCTGATGTCCAAGGTTGGGCAAAGGGGCATTGCCCAAACCCTCAGTCCGGCTCCTGGCTTCTAAGCAAGGATGCTTTGAGAGAGTGAGCGAGCGAGAGTTTTCATAGGCTCATGTGCCTGGATATCTTTGAGAGGCCATGGTGTTCACCAGAAGGGGCCCCAGACAAAAAGTGGATTGGAGTGGGAACATGGTTCTATTTTCCTGTTTTTCCAAACGCCTGGGAAGCTCACCTCTGACGCTTACAGCGTGGCTGCTTTGGCCCCACTGGGTTAGTGGCTTTTATTTTATTCTTTGCTTAGATGTTGTTCTCGCTCTTTCTCTCTCTCTCTGTCTCCCCCAGCCATCACCTTTTCAATTTGTTTCCTCCTGGGAAACTGAGGCACTATAGTGACGCCTTACATGTTTACAACGACCTTCTGCCTTCAGCTCAAGAAAACATCACCCATAGCCCCCATCCCCCTGGTGGGACCACTGAAGCTCAGAGGGAATAGACAGCCTGTCCGAGAAGTCAGGCCTGTCCGCCAGGGACCCGACTTTGCTTGGGGTGTCCCCCCCCCGGCCTCCAGCCCACCTACCTTCAGTGTGTCACCCTTGTGGAAGGCCAGCTCATCGCTCTCTGTGGCCTGAAAGCTGTACAGGGCCACGGACTCCATCCCGCTGTCCCTGGGCTCCGGCAGCTGGGCTCAGAGCGGGGCCCAGCAGCTTCCTGCTTCCTCCGTGGTGGAGGACCGGCTTCCTTTGTTTGACACTGAGACTGAAACTGCCCTTGACTGGGTTGGGTGAGGGGAGAGACAGGAAGCAGAGACGTGTCACAGAACGGGGAGCTCCCATGAGTTGGCCCACCCCACATCCCACCTCCAAGAGGCCAGGGCTGGCTCTCGGGGAGTTACCTCTGTGGTCTTGGGAGTGGGTCCCCCATGGTACCCATGCTGCAGATGGTAACATTGAGGTGTCTGGCTGGAGAAATGCCACAAAGGCATCTTGCTGTTGCTGCGGCCTCAGCGTTTCTAAGCCTGGACGCCTCTCATGATTCCCTGGTGTCAGCTGCCTCAATCCCAAGACTCTTGCCTGGCACTGAGGCGCCTCTGAACCCCTCCCCTGCACCACACACACACACACACACACACACACACACACACACACACACACACACACACGCACACATCGTTATTGCTCCTCTTCACCCTAAACCAATCCACAAACTCCACTGTCATCAGGGGCTCCGGCCTTTGCACCTGTGTCTCCTTACCACTCCTCCACCACCCAGAACACCCCTGGTAACCTCTCAATGCCTGCACTCAAAAGCGTCCTCCTCTGGTCCAAAATCTGGCCACCTTTGGCGGGAGGCACAGGAACATTTCTGGAAGTTTGCGGAAAAGGGCTGGGCAGGCATCTAGTGGTCAGGATGCCCAGTGCCTAGGTTCCCCTCCCGGCTCCAGCTTCCAGCTTCCAGCTTCCTGCCAGTGTGTGGGCCCAGGCAGGCAACAGGTGCTAGCTCAGGCCTGTGTCCCTGTGAGCCACATGGAGGACCTGGCTTTGATCCACCCAGCCTTGATCACTGAGGAGGGAGCTGGGCGTTGGGAATTCCTTTCTCCTCTTTCTTTCTGTCTCCCTTTCTGTCTCTCAAATGGATAAACAAAAATACTTTTTAAAGTTCATTTATATTTTAAAGGCACACACACACACACAGTGAGACCTTCCATCAGTTGTTTTACTCCCCAAATGGTCATAAAGGCTAGAGCTGAGCTGGTCTGAAGCCAGGGGCCTAGAACCTCATCTGGGTTTCCCACATGGGTAGCAGAGGCTCCAAGCACTTGGGCCATTTTGGCTGTTTTCTCAGGCGATCAACAGGGAGCTGGATCGGAGGTGGAACAGCTGGGACCTGAACCAGAACCCACATGGGATACTAGTACTGCAAGTAGAGTATCATCCGGTGGCTCCACTGAGCTGGTCCCTACAGTTTATTTTATTATTATTATTTTTTAAAGATTTATTATTATTTTTTTTATTGGAAAGGCAGATATACAGAGAGGAGAGACAGAGAGGAAGATCTTCTGTCTGATGAATCACTCCCCAAGTGAGCGCAACAGCCGATGCTATGCCAGTCCAAAGCCAGGAGCCTCTTCCGGGTCTCCCACGCGGGTGCAGGGTCCCAAAGCTTTGGACCGTCCTCTGCTGCTTTCCCGGGCCACAGGCAGGGAGCTGGATGGGAAATGGGCTGCGGGGGTAGAACTGGCGCCCATATGGGATCCTGGGGCGTGCAAGGCGAGGACCTTAACCACTGCGCCATCGCGCCGGGCCCCCTACAGTTTATTTTTGAAGACCACACATACACATTTATCACGAGCCTTTCAAAAAACCTTGCATGCTTGGGCCTTCAAATATCTTTTTCTGCGTTGAAACAAACTTACCCTTTCATTTCATTTCCACAAACTTCTTGAAATACCTTCATGTAACACATTTAATACAAATTGTAAAGATTTTTTTTTTTATCATTTAAAGCTACTACTCACAGATTTCAAAAACTTTTGCATCAAAATAAAGGTTTTAAAATCATTTTATTAATTTAATTGATTATGTTTATTTGAGAGAGAGAGAGAGACTCCAGCGATTCACTCTTCTAGTACCTTCCACGGCTGAGGTGGGGTAGCATCAAGCCTAGAGCCGTGAACTTAATCCAAGACCCTTCCGTGGGCAGCAGGAACGACACTGCTCAAGTGCCACCTGTTGTCGTCGTCTCCCGGGCGTGCACCTGCAGGAGGTGGGTGTCAGGAGTGCAGCCGGACTTAGACTCCACCCTGATGTGGGAGGTGGGCATGCCAGGGGTGTCTTAACCACTGTGCCAAATGAATAAATAAAAATAAAGCCACAAACTCATCTGTTAGGTCCATTTTCCCTTAAACTCCTTGATGCATATATAGCAAACATATATCAAACGTTATATTAGCTGTCAAGTATGTATTTGACAAGATATAGCAAGCATCGGTAACTAAGAAAATATATATGTATTTGCATTTATAGGAATCCCAATGCGTGTTTCTGAGCTTTTGGCGATGAGTTTCTAAAGCAGAGTGTGTCTGTAGTTTCGCATCTCCTTCCGCATCTGTGCAGACACAGATAATACAGCAGAACCATGAGCCCCATCAAGTGCAAGCCAGCGGCTGTAGGTCAGGAGGGTGCAGAATCCTGCCATTCTCATGATTGCATGAAGGGTTGATTCTTCTATATCAAAGGTGGAGATGAATGGCCATCTACAGTTATCTCAAAATAAAATATTGACTTCAAAACAAAACAAAAAATTGAGGAGGGATCGGGTGCTACCATGGGTCCAACTGTTGATCAACCGATTAGTGTCCCGGCTGCTCCACTTCCCATCCAGTTCCCTGCTAATGCCCTGGGAAGGCAGTGGAGGTTGGACCAGGTGTTTGGGTTCCTGCACCCACATGGGAGGCCTGGTTGGGGTTCTAGGCTCCTGGCTTCAGCCTGGCCCACCTCCTGGTGTTGCTGCCACTTGGGGACTGAACCAGAGGGTGGGAGATTTCTCTCTCTGCCTTCCGAGGTTGTAAACATGTACAGCTTTAAGAAAGAAATTGAGGAGAAAGAATAAGCGAACTGTCAGAAGCCGGTGGCCTGCTCTGGCTGTCCCTGGGCTGCTGAGCAGCAGGTAAGTTCCGCAGGCCTCCCCTGCTACCCTTCCCCCTGGCAGCCCTCCACCAGGGCGACAGGAAGTTATGCTGTGGGCTCCGGGCTCCTTCCGGCTCTGTCTCAGCTCAGGTTTCTAATCCTCAGAGACAGGGGAGGGGCGGAGGTGTTGGAGTTGATTCCTCCGTAGCCTGAGGAGACCTGAAGTCAAGGTGGGGGACCCTTTTAGGGACCGGGGTTGGGGTCTTGTGGCCCTGATGCCTGCTTTCTTTAATTTTTTTTTTTTTAAGACTTATTTTGTTTTTATTACAAAGTCAGATATACAGACAGGACGAGAGGCAGAGATAAAGATCTTCCGTCTGATGATTCACTCCCCAAGTGACCACAACGGCTGGTGCTGTGCCAATCTGGAGCCAGGAGCCAGGAACCTCCTTCAGGTCTCCCACACGGGTGTAGGGTCCCAAAGCTATGGGCCGTCCTCGACTGCTTTCCCAGGCCACAAAAGCAGGGAGCTGGATGGAAAGTGGAGCTGCTGGGACTAGAACCAGCGCCCATATGGGATCCCGGCGCGTTCAAGGTGAGGACTTTAGCTGCTAGGCCACAGTGCCAGGCCCTCTTTTAACTTTTAAGTTCATTTTATTCATTTATTTATTGGAAAGGCAGAGCGCACACACACACACACACACACACACACACACACACACACACACACACATGTCTTCCATCTGCTGGTTCACTCTACCCAATGACTGTAACAGCCAGTTCTGGGCCAGGCCAAAGCCAGGAGACAGCTCTGTCTAGCTCGCCCACGTGGGACGCAGGGACCCCAGGACTAGAGTCATTTGCTCTGCTGCCTTACCAGGGACATTAGCAAGGGAGTTAGATCGAATTTGCGGAGCTGGCACTCCGATATGGGATACTGGTATCCTAAGTGGTTACACCACCTGATGTACCATGATGCCAGCTTTGTTTTTCTAAAGTTATTTATTTACCGCTAAGCTGTGTCAGTGTGTGCGTAAGGCCCACAACCTGTCAGTCACCTGCCAGGGGGCAGCACTGAGCCTCCCTGCTGGGCTGAGCCAGGTTCTTGACCGAACAGTCTAAGCTGAGTGGCCTCAGCCCAGGGAATCCTTGGGCGGGGAGCTCGGGCTACGCTGGCTGAGAAATGTTCCAGTTATGGTGTGCAGGCTTGGGTGGAGCATAAATGCACCCCGATTCTCAGAGAGACCGGACGGTCACCCACAGCGGGAGTTGGGGGAGAGTCCCCCCCAACGGAGGACAATAGGAAGCCTGGAAGGGGGAGAGTTTAGGCAGTGGCAGCTGAGAAGACACCCCACCCCGTCCACCATGGAGGGCGCAGCTGAGTTTCCAAGGAAGGCCCCTCAAAAACCGCCAAAGGAGGAGCTGTCGAGGGCGCAGGTGGAGGTGCTGATTGCGAGGTCATGTCCTGGCTGCCCCCACTTCTGATGTCCTGGAGAGCAGTGCAGGATGGAACAAGTGCCTGCATCCCTGCCGCCCGAGAGAGCCCCCCGGATGAAGCTCCCGGCTTTGGCCTGGGCCAGTGCTGGCTGTCGTGGCCGTCTGGGGAGTGAACCACTGACGGAAGAACTCTGTCTCCTTCTCTGTGGCTTTCTTCTTTGTTTTTCATTTCAATATATTTCCTTCTTCCTGTTTTTCATGATACGGTTCCATAGGCACAGGGATCACCTCTCAACCACCTCCATCCCCCAGTCACCTCCCACCGTTTACTCCCATATTATTACAATAATATAGTCCCTCATCATCAGCCACACATCCAACATTCTGCTATTTAGTGTATCATGGTATTATAGAGACTGACATTCAAATAAGATAAATAGCTTTAAAAATCTTTTTTTTTTTTATAGGAGGCCGGCACCAGGCTTGGCAGAGCACCTGTCTGGGTATGTAGCCCCAAAGACCCCACACTTTAATGCCTGGGGCCTGTGGCGCTTCTCTTGCAGGAGGAGAGGATGGTGTGAGTGGGATTGAGTGAGCACGTTGAGAAGGGAGGGTTTCCTGGTTTATCTGGGTGGCTCTGAACAGCATCATACGTGTCCTTGCACACAGGATGAGGCAGCGGGATG